CCAACGCGGCGAAAACTGCCACTGGGGGGGCGGCGGGGGGGTGACCTCTGGCTCCAGTGAAATCCAGGGGAGTTTTGCTTGGGGGTTTTCTCTGAAAACTCCACCGGGCTCCTCCCCGGCTCTGGCAGGAGCTTTCTAGATGAGGTCCAGGCTTCCCAGCAGCCCCGTGGCCTCGGGCCGTTCCTGGGCCCACCGCAGAGAGTTAACTCGGAGCCCGGCCATGGCTGCTCCAGGGTGGGCAGGGCTGGACGAGGGTCAGGCTGAGGTCCCCGCTCGCTGTCTCCTCCTCGCTGCTGGCTGGTTGGCTCACGTCGGGCGGCCGGGTACGTAGGGCGACCGGCCGGCGAGTGTGACTCATCGGGACGATGGGGACAGTCCCTGCCACCCCTTAAATCGGGTCAGCTGGCCCCCTCTCTGCGAGCGGATTGACTGAGGCCCCAAGGGCCCCTCCGGTTGTTTCAGCAGCAATTTCAGCTTCCCTGCGAGGGGCTGGGAGGAGCTGAAAGCGTTGACGTGGCTGGCACCCTCCTTCCCCCCACGCCTGCTGGGGAGGGGAGCATTTCCTGGCAGGGGGCTGCTTTGCCTTCCTAGACGTCTGCGCCGCTGGCCAGCTGCGTGACCAGAGCTGGCGTTCGTATGCTGGGGCGGCAGATCCAGGGTTCCGCGGAACATGCCCACATCCGAGCTGCCCGGAGCTCGGCTCATGCTCCCCGTGGGGCCCTGCTGGCTCCTCTCCGCCTCCCCCACCGTTCAGCGCCGCGGGCTGCCCATCCGGGTTGATGTGCTATTCCGGGACGATTCGTCCTGTGACGTGCTTTAAAGATTAACCTTTAATTCCTGGAGATGCCAGGGCCATCCCGGAAGCCTGGCGGGCGACTCCCTTTGCCGCAGGTGCTCCAGGGAGCAATCCAGAGGAATGGCCTCCAATTTCCTAGCGCTGTGCTCAAGGGCACTGAATTAACTCTCTCACGGCCAGAGCCCAGGCAGCCAGAGGGGCCCAGACATCCCTGTGTTACTGCCCCACCCAGGCCAGTCTCCCCACGTCCCCAAACCAGAGGGGAATTCCTCAGGGAGTTTTCTTTCCAGGAGTTTTGAGTGTTTCTCTTTGCTGGGGAAGAACCGAAGCTGGCGAAGGAAGGCAGAGGGGTTCTGCGAGCAGATGGGGAAACCCCGCAGGGAACTCCGCAGACACTGTGGCAACACCGGTCGGCTCCCAGGCTCGGGGAGGCGCGGGCATAGGGTGGGAGCCACATGGTACAGCGGGGAGGGTGCCAGCGGGTTCCTGCTTGCAGGGAGGCACCTGCTATTGGCACTCTCCTAGCTGTGGGGCTCTGCCCCTTGTAGTGGCACCGAGACCCCCTAGAGAGAGACGGATGAGTCTGCTCTGCAGCCTGATCTAAGGGCCCTGCGGCTCACGCGCTAAGCTCCGGGGGGCCAGGCTCCACGCCGCTCGCCGCCGCCCCATAAGCTGCCTGGCTGTGCACAGCGTGGGGGCCGGCTCCCCAGTCTCCATGGCTTGTGCCAGCACCGCCAAGCTCCGGACCGGCGGGGCAGCGTGGGCGTTGCCCGGGGGTCTGGCAGGTTTGTGCACCCCACGCCGGCAGCGTGCCCTGCTCCGGTCCCCAGCCTGCTGCGTGTCGTGCTAGCTGGGCACATGGGCTGAAGCTGCAGCGGTGCTCTGTGCCCCTGGCCTGGTGGGGCTTGGGGCCGTCTTCCCGCAGCTCCGGCTGACTCTCGGCTGAGCCTGCTGACGCCTGTGGCTTCCTGTGCCGTCACTTTAAGGAAGTGTCTGGCGCCAGGGAAGTAAGGTGTGTGCCGTAACTGCAGGGGCGTCTTCCCCTTTCTGCCTCCGCGCCACGTCATGTCTGTCCCTGGTCACCGTCCCTCAGCCGGAGCGGGGGAGGTCTGCGCTCTGCCTGTGCTGCTGCTTAGCCCCAGGGCCACGTGGCGGGACCCAGCTAAGTGGGGTCTCAGCCAGGGAGGGAGACCCACGAGGGAGACCCACCCCCTGTGGGTAGCTAGGGGGGTCCTGCCCCTTCTCTCCCATGTAACCAGGGGTGAGAAGGCTGAAGGCCCCAGCCCAGTGTCCCAAAGGGGCTGGGGAACCCGGCCCAGCCCCCCGTCTCAGGAAGAGTGGGGTGAAGTTGCCCCGCTGAGCCTGGGGGAAGGGGCTGGCGAGGGGCTCCCTCTGCACCCCCCCCGGGGCCCCAGGCACCCGGCTCCCCGGGGCTGCAGCTCGCTCCACAGGCCCAGCGCTGCTGGTCCCTACACTGGAGGGCCCGTGGGCCAGGACTGGGGGCAGTGACTTAGCAGGGAGAGGGAGCCCCCCAGGGACCAGCCGGGGGAGGGGCTGGCAGGGGAAGAGCCGTGGCATCCGGCCTCCCAGCTCAGTGACTCCGCTTAGGGGCGCTGAATCTCCGGCAAGCTCCATCGCCCGAGGCTGGTACCCCGGCCGCAGGGACCATCGAGTCCAGGCCCCCCGCCCCCTCCGGGTGGCTCTAGCGCACCTTTAGGAGGCAATTCAGCCCCATTCTTGCATCTCACAGCCTGGAGGCCAGTAACTGCAGCAGCTGCCCCCACCCCTTCTCTCACACATTCACACCTGCCTGCCTGCCCCCAGCAGCTTCCTTCCTCCCCGGGCTAGGGCAGCGCCTCTGCAGTGCTCGGGTGACCGCCGCTTCCTCAGTGCCCACCAGCACGTTGCTGGGTTGTGGTGACTGCCTGGCGCACGCGGGGGGGCAGGTCCTCTGGGGCAGGCCAGTTCCCAGGGCTTTGCCCAGCAGAGAAAGGGAGCCCGGTGGATCCCTGCAGCCAAACCCCAAGACTAGTGGAACGACTCAGCGCTGGGCCCTCTCCTCCAGCGCCGTGACGGCCCACTGGTTCTGTGCCTCTTGCACAGCGGGGCGGACGCTCCGGGACCCGTGCCCCCCTGCCTCGGGGTCTCTCCTGGCCGGGCGCTTGCCCACCTGGCCTTGTGGGGGCCAGCCGCTCTGCCCTGGCTGCCCTGTGTCGCAGGGCTGGGCTTCCCCTTTGGGTTTGCTTGATGGTGTAGCATGGCTGGCTGCAGGGCCACATGCAAATGCAGCCCTCCCACGCCCCTGGGACATGCCAGAAACCCCAGCGTTTCCCAGGGGGTCTGCTGAGCAAGTCCCTGTGGAGTTCTGAGCCGGGGCCTTCCCCAGGCTGGGGTGTGCCGGGAAAGCCGGGGAGGGCTTTCCTCGCCAGGGGGTTTCTCGGGGAACTGAGAATCTTGAGCAAATAGGACGCGTTCCTGCTGGGTGGAGCCGGTGCACCCGGCGTTCCCGGAGCTGGAGCGGCGCCGAGGGAGGCGAGAGGAAAAGCTCTTGGGAAGGCTGCGTGCTCTCTTAGGGGTGCTTGGCAGGGTGGCGGCATCAGGGGGAGTTTCCCAGCTTGCTGGGGCAGGGCGGGGGGGCGGCAGGGGCCGTACTTACCCGTCTATGAGAGGCATCTCCTCCATGATTCTCTCTGCCTCCACCCTGAAGAGCTCTGCAGAGCAGAACGGGAAGAGGGTGAGCAGCACGCAGCTGTGCAGCATTGGCTTCATGGTGCCACGCCACCCGCCTTGGCTCCTGGGTCCTCTCCCTCCAGCCCTGCTCCCGAGGGTCCCAGTAACTGGGCCGGAGGCCTCTCCACACGAAGGAGAGAGTCTAGTCCAAGGCCAAGACGCAGTGCCCTTCCTCCGCCTGGAGGTCTGTCTCCTTGGAGTCTGGTCCTCGGGGTGCTCCCTGGACTGCCAGCCCGGAGCTGCCTTCCTGGTTGGGCAACAGCCCAGTCAATTAATAACCATGCTGGACCATAAAGCAATCTGGAGCCATCCTTAGCTGGCTGCACCTTAGCCCGCCATGAAGGAGTTCTTCGCAGGGCGTGCTGCACACAGTGCTCAGGGCACCTACGGGGCAGCCCCCACACTTGGCAGGGAGCTCGGATCCCACCCCGCTCCCACAGTTCTCCACGTCTGCCCCAGGAGCAGGGCAGGTGGTGCTCCATGCCAGCTGTGGGCGGCCGTGCAGCATAGACAGCAGGGTGCGGCAGCGTGGGCCGGCACTCTGGGGGCCAGCGGGAGGCCCGATTAGTGGGAGGCAAGGCATAAGAACA